ATGTTAATGCTGCGTAATTGTCTCTGTGTTTTCACTGGTCAATTTTATAAATATACATCCTATTACTTACTTCACATGAATCCTTTGTTTGATTCTAAAATCGCAATGTTTTCATGTAATATGTTCTAAATAAGTCGGCGGTAAATAGAAAGGCTTACACTGAAATTATTGCAAAGAAAATGCTAGCTTTCTGCGTGATGAATCTCACCCCTGGCTGAACACTGTTCAAACTAAATATAGCTTGCTTTGATAACATCAATTTAATAGCAGCAATCCAAGTGTAGTCTCGAGCAGAAAACGTCAGCCAGTACAGCCTCTTCAGCTACAGCAATTCGATTACCGAATTCGCACTCTGTATAGATCATTAGTATTTGTTTAAGGTATTTTCTTCTGAGCGCGTACGATACCATCTTCTTCAGGGTACATGTTCTTGCATGCATCTAGTCACAACCATGTTAATAGAAAAATATACTGGTAATAATTAAGATAAAACATAAAGAGCAAGCCTTTAAACTGCCCCAAACTTTAATCTTTTAGGATCTGAAGGAGGTATTGCCTTACCGTACTGCAATTATTAGACATGAAAAGGGATTATAATTACTAAAGCTAAGGTCTCTCAAAACGCGAAGTGACAGTTGTACAGTTCATAGTTATTAATTAAGACTTAAAGGAAATAAAGTGAAACGAAGCTTTATGTTAATACACTTGGAATTAGGCTACTGATTTATGTTTGTTTTGAACTAAATAGCTTATTTAAATTTCTGTACCGAAAGCTTAGAAACTTGGTTGGTTTTATCATAAACTGTTGTATGGTATGCGATATGTATATACAGATTAAAGAAATCTAAAGCCCTATGAACTGGACGTGACACCAAAGGGTATGCTAATTTAAAATGCGGACACTTGACAAAATCTAACCATACTGTGAGTAATACAACAACAATGTGACAAGGATTCAGTAACAGTACAAACAAAATAACAATTCCAGAGTAGGGAGGAAGAGGTCTACATTGAACCTAAACCTCCCTGGTCCAAAACATGGACCGAATCCCGATGAAGAAGGGTATTTGGGTACATGCGCGGACATGTGTGTATTTGGGTACATGCGTGTGCAGGTGCATATAATGGTGCATGCGAGTGCAGGTGCGCATAATGGTACATGTGCGCAGGTGCGTAATTTGGGACCGATATCGTAACCATTTTGTGCGTGTTATAGTTTTCATACTATAACATTTAAATTAGTAAGCGTAGGTTAACGGACTTTCTCAGATTGTCAATTAACATTACAATTAATTTCATAAGGAAATATCAACTTTTTTTATTAATTCTTAAGGTTTGTTAAGCAATGTTTTTGTCATGCCCTTTTTTTTCTATTCGCATGTTGCTTATCCAACATGCAAAGTAATATTCATTTTAAGATTAAAACATTTTAACATTTCGAACGTGGAAGATATGAAAAAATAATTTTTTTAGGTTTTATGTATACAGTTGAATAAACCAGAAAATCATAAATTACGATATTGGTACCATAGAATTCCACTATAATTTATGAAGCTTAGTAACTAAGCTTCATTTCGGTCCGGCATAGCCAAGTGGTTAGGGCACTCGATTCGCAATCCTTGTTCCACCAAACATGCTTGCCTTTTCAGCCGTGGGGGCTTTATAATGTGATGGTCAATCCCACTATTTGTTGGTAAACGAGTATACCAAGAGTTAGTAATGGGTGTTTCCTTACCTCTAGTCTTAAACTGTTAAATTAGGGACGGCTAGCGCAAATAGCCCTCGTGTAGCTTTGCGCGAAATTCCAAACAAAACAAATGCAGTATTTCGGCCTAAAAAATAGGAAATTTCTAGCAGACAAAAGACAGAACTTACCTGCTTGAAATCTTGGTTGGAAAGAACGAGATGGCCTCCCAACATTTTTAAAGGGCTGAGAAAACCAGTAGGGGACATTCTGAGCTTTAGATCGGTTATTCACATGTCATACATTGAAGTAAGTATATATAAGGGACCGTTTCCAAAAATGGACAGTGGTGAGCGGGGCCACTGTCTTTGATTCAGTACCTAAGCGATATCTCAGCAAAAAGAAACGATATGAGGTTCTTATTTTATATTCTAGATCGTCAATATCGGTAATTTGAGTTCCTAATTCCTACGAAGGTATAGACTTAGTATTTTGACATCACAAACATCTAATTTGAAGCAGTGCTGCATTCAACATAAAATATGACACAAAAATCGATGTTTAACTGTGTTATTTTAATATTTACTTTTAAATTAAGAAATTGAATAATGTATAATAATAAAATATGAATTATAATCTAGAGTTTGATATCATACTTATTAACGTAAATTCTTGAAACAGTAGTTCAATAAAATTTCGAATGAGAATCAATAAACGCGATGACACCACTCAGTATATGCAGGCACAAGTGAGTACTTACGTAAATGCACGAGCAGGTGCATTTGTATGAATAGGTGCATATATTGGTACATGTGTTCTCAGGTGCTTATAATAGTACATGAGCTCGCATGTGCATATATTGATAAATGCACAGGTTCTTATTTTGGTACATGGATGCGCTGGTCCGCATATTTCTACATGCGCGTGCAGGTAATTATTTTGGTACATTCGCACGCAGGTGCGTTTATAGCTACATCGCCGACAGGTGCTTATTTTGGTACATGTGGGCGAAGGTGATTATTTTGATAGATGCGTGAACAGGTGCGTATATTGGTATATCCACCTGCAGATGGTTATTTTGGTACTTGTGTGCGCAGGTGCGTATATTAGTACATGCGCGCGAAGGTACTTATTTTGGTACATGCGCGCACAGGTGCATATATTGACACGTGTGCGTGCAGATGCGTATATTGGTACATGCGCGTGAAGGTGCTTATTTGGGTACATGCGCACGTAGGGGCGTATATTGCTACATGCTCGTGCAGGTAATTATTTTCGTACATGCGCACGCAGGTGCGTATATTGCTACATTGCGGGGAGGTGCTTATTTTGGTGCATGTGGCCGAAGGTGCTTATTTTGGTAGATGCGTGCGCAGGTGCGTATGCTGGTATATGTACGTGCAGATGGTTATTTTGGTACATGTGCGAGCCGGTGCGTATACTAGTACATGCGTAATTAAGAGTTCAAGTTATCAAGAGTTAATAACAATGTAATATCTGAAGAAACGAAGATAACACTTGAGTTTGGGGCAAGCATTCTTTAAGTCGCTTATATATGGAAAACATTAGTAATTTTGGCACAAGAAATTGACGCATGTTGATCTTTAGTTTAGTTGGATTAGAATTAGAGCTTCGAAATTACTCCGAGTTAATCCATCTGCCAAAATAAGAACATGCACATGCGCATGCATGTGGTAAAATAAGCACGTACAAGCGCATGTACCAAAAATAAGTACCTTCGCGTCATCCACATAAAATGAAATTCAACATGCATAAACTTATACCACATTACTAATGTTTTTAATACCTAAGCAATGCATGAAATATTTATTCCATACTTATATGAGAACGACGATTGTTTATGTCACGTTTTGTGTTTAATTTGGCGCAGCTTGATCTAAACAACATAATTTATCGTTTAAATTTGGGATAAATATTTATTGTCGTTTAGACATTTAAGACATTAGAAGTTGGATAGAAAATGTTTATGTAAGTTGAAATTCAGACACCCCAAGCTAATAACAATTAGTGAACTGAACAACAGAAACTAGCTTTTCAATTTGGCGCAAATATTCTTTGTGCCACTAAAATATTTAAAGCATTAGCAGGCTTATATAGTACAATGACGCACGTTGAATTTAAAATAACTTGGATGGGGATTTAAGAATGAAGTAGCATCGAGCTAATAAAAATTGAGTTATTTGCGAAGAGTTGCTGTTTCAGTTCTCGGTTTGATTAAAGTAACTAAGAACTATTTTTTCATTGTTACTTCTCTATTATATTAATATGTATAGTAAGATAGTTTTGAAGTACACAGTTTCTAAGAATGTTAAACCTCACGTTCACGTGTATGAAACAAACAAAGACAATCTTTAGAATATATTTCTGCTTCTAAACATGATTACCGATAACTATTTACTAAAACATACTTTTCTGTTTTTAACAAACATGTATTCTTAAAATTAAAATCGTAATTCCTAATATTAAACTTGACAGGCGACCACGGCTAAACTGATTTCATAGTGGAATACTACTTTATTTATTTCCTCATATGTCGTCATCCACTAAAAATACACGACTTAAACTCATGTGAATATGTTGTTATACGTTAAAAAAATTGAATCATGAATAAATTCTGGAAACAAAGGAAATTGAGCTAAACAGATCCGACAGGCAGTCTTGCTGGTATTCACTTACTTGTACTTCTTCAACTGTAGATCAGGCAAAAATGCCACACACGTTTCTAAGTTGCAACACCTTTACAGAATATTGTATGAATACTATTATATATTTAGGTTATATGTTTTCTAAAAAAAAACAACACTGAAACCACAAAACATTATCAATTATTCGAGAACTTTGTTGAAAGCTCTTGCAAATGATTCACCTGTATTTATAGTCAAATATGATCAAAGCATAATTAAGAATACATCACTTTGAGTAAGATACATAAAAGCCTTTATTTGCACAACACCACATAGCGTTACAAAATACTACATATGTTAGCCAGTATAACCGGTAAGAAAAAAAGTATAACTCATTTACGTATTTAATGAAGCTTTGGGCTTGATAATGAGTTTTTATGCTGCTAAAAGTGAAACTTGAATAATAAAATGATTCATTAAAACAGTTAGAAACAAATAGCATAAAGATATAACGGCAATTTTATGCTAAAATAAATAAATATAAGTTATCAAAAGCGAATCTAACTATCAAGCAAAAAAGTCCGTAAAATCAATTTAAGTGAAGCCGTGTAATAGCTAGAGCTGATGTTCAGTCCAACCTGTCGTTTCTACTTTATTTCTAATTCATTGTTTTAGTGATAGCCATATTGCGGTACAGGGATATGAATATATTTTACATGTTTTTTAGGAGGCGGAGGAGGGGGTGGTGGTGGTGGAGGAGCGACTGCTGGGGGTGGTTCAAGAACAATTTGGACATCGGCAGGAGCTGCATCTCCTAAACCGGGTTCATTGGATTTAATCTGAGGATGGAATCCGGTGGGGTCAGCCAAGTATGTTACTTGACGATATTGTCCAGTAGCATCTATGTAGCCATAAGAACCGGTCACGGCTCCGCTTCCATCTCCTGATTCCTTCCGTGTGATAGTGTTTCCTTCATCGTCCTTCACTTCAAATGCGAATTCATACGGTTTAGGAGTTTCCTAAACAGAGAATCGATGTTACCAAATTAACAGATTTATATCATTTCGCTAAACAAACACAAATAATTATGATAGACGTGAACATTCATATCAAATGAATGTTTATAAATTACAGTTCAGCACGTATATTTTAAACATTTTGTTAAGATTACCTAATGTTTATGACTAGAAAAGCAAAAATACATTGTGAATTATATTGCTTATTTTCTGGTGTAAAACGTTACTAAAAATAAATCACTTACTGGTGGTGGTGGAGGAGGAGGAGGAGGTGGTGGTGGGGGAGGAGAAACGTAATGGGGGACCTTAATGATCTTTACAAATGGACTTCCGTATCCTAACGACTGCACACCAACAACTGCTGTCAGGACCAATAGGAGGACGACCTAGAAGAAGAAACGTATATTATATATTAGTAAAACCTATACACATGCAAACATGATCATCGCAATGTTAATGTTAAAGAAGTAATAAAAATAATTGCTGGCTTAGCAATGAGCTATATAACAGCCAGCAAAATATATGTTGAATTCGATTGAGAATATAATTTTTTTTAAAATCGCTTCAGAAACGAATCAACATGTAAAAGTCAAAGTACGTCATTCGACAGGATATAGTATAAGGACAAATTATGCATAACTTAAGATATTATTGCAATAGAAAAATCTTTATATAAGACTCTGACTAAAAGCATACTACAAGGTAGAGATACTGAAATTTTTCAATCTTTCTAATGAGGTTTTGTGTTTATTATTCGAAACTGTAAGTAAGACATCGTTTTTACCATTAACATATATGAACTTGCTACTATATGTATTCTCTAGAAAAAAACAACAACCCTGATTAGAATAATAATATTCTACCGTACGTTGATCAATGCAAGGTATCTCTTAAGAATAATTTTGAAATATGAAGTTGAGTTCCTGATATTAAAACGACTTTGAATATGCAAATCAGCAAATCACGTGACAAACAAAACCGCTATAAAGTCACCTTGGAACGGTATGTATGAATACTACTTTTTGACATTGTTTGGCATTTTCCAGGTAGTACGATGCCACCGAAAATTGATTATTTATGTAACAGCTCTTTCCGACGCAGAGTATTCATATACTTGGACCCTAAAAGGGTGTTCAGATCGGACATTTCGAATTTTCAAGATGGGAATATCCCTTGTAATTAATGGCATTGTAAAGTGAAGGAACATGAATCTACTTCGGAAACCAAGACCATATAAAAACGGACTTGCAACAAGTCCTATTCCAGTCATAGTAAGCAAAGTGTGTTGTTTTGTAACAGGTGAGAATCCTTGATTCCCCAGGTAACATTACGCAACATAATAAAGAAGGATCTCCGTCTGGAAAAACCAACACATTTCACGTGCACACAAGCTGCTTCTACGACAGTTCATTTCAACCAACATATAACTCAAGCGGTTGAAGAATGAAATGATATTCATGTTATTCATTACGCAAATATATAGATCAAGTCGTCTCTTGGTGGGCCAGTAGTGAATTTACAGATTTACAACGCTAAAATCCAAGGGTCAATTTTCTACGATGGACAAAAAGCATATAGCCAATTGTGTAGTCTTGCGCTGAAAAACAGCAACAGGTCAAATCGACGGACATAACGCCTATGGATTTCTGTATGGTCGAATTGTTGAAACTAGCGCTGCAAAATCGCCACTCTTTTACACTAGATAGTTTATAGGAAGCACGCACGAGGTAGGGGTGTGTTTTGACAAGTTTAAGATGGAACCATTTGTAATGGAAACTACGCTACAGGGCTATTTTCAGGATGAACGGTGGTCAGATAGAACATGGCCAGGAGTGGCGACATGGACTGCTCCAAAATTACGTAAATATAACATACTCAACCTTCATACTTCAAACTATGTTGAATGTTTTTGTTTTCACTGAATAAACCTTATACCTCCCCCCCCCCCCCCAAATAAAAATATAAAAAAAAAATACATTCCCGGGTTATTTTT